GAGCATAATGTTCTGTCAAACATGTTAGAGGGCATCAAGGGTAATCCATTTGGGGGGAGCAGAAGGGGCTTACAAACTGGGGGCAAGTCTAGCTCAGCATTGTGGGCTCAATGCTATGTATTTCAGGGGTGGAGTTCAGTAGTGTCACATGCTAGGAAGATAAGGTTAAGAGGTATGGGGCAAAGGGACTGGCCGATGTGATATGAACTCCTGGCTGCCTCACCTATCAGTGCAGAAGAAAGTAGAGAAGCTGCTATTATGTAGCCTCCGCTTCGAAAAGTGAGGGTGTCCTGCCTGGGTAATTGGGTTATAGGGGTAGTGATGAGGGTTGGAGGAGAGATGTTCCTAAGCTCTAAGCTGGGTGTGAAAGAAAAAGGGGGCATGTCTAGTTAAAGCAGTCACCTGGCCATGCAACATGTCGCTGTCTGTTATGACAGTCCCATATGGATGCATTACTAGGTGCCTGTATGTACATGTAGATCATTATCTAAACTAGTAAAGAATTACATAAACCAGATATGTTCCTGACCCATGTACTCTATATGATTGTTGTATTCTTGACTCCTGCACACTATTCACCATATTGTATAGCTGACCCATGCACTCTTTATACCATGTTGTATTCCTGACCTGCAGGGACTGAGAAGACCGAAGATGTAGGGGGACTGTAAAGGCTGAGGATGGGGGGGGGGGGGGGCTGTGAAGACTGTGGATAGGGATAGGACTGTGAAGACTGAGTTTGGGGGATTGCAAAGACTGTGGGTGGGGGGAACTGTGGAGGCTAGGGGGGACTGTGAAGACTGAGGATGCACTATGTACACAATATTGCACATTACACGCTCCTGCACTATATACACTACATTGTACATTGCATACTCCTACATTATATTTACTATATTGTACATTACAGACTTCTCACCAAAGTGTTCATTGTCTCAACAGTTGTTGGCAGTTAAGCAGTCCTTAACTATTACAGTGAAGTTCCTCTATAAGGTAGGCTCAGACAAAGTGTTAGCTCTCTGTCTATTTCCATTTTTATTTTTTAAAAATTATAGTTTTGAGGTTTTACATGTCTGTGGGACTTATGTGCTTGTGGCACACAATCCAAGAATATTTTATGGGTACAAGAAGGCTTTTGTCTTAGTTACCGGTAACTATGCCCCTTTTAAGACCCTCCCATTATTGATGCAATTTGGCCACACTCAGCATATGCACATCACATTACTACTCTACTTGAAAATCCCAAACACACCCAAGATCTTTAACAATGCTAGCAATACCCCAGCCTCAATGAAAACTATGCCAGCTTTTTGCCACTAAGCATGCCAAATTTGTTTTTTAATCAAGCAATGGGGTCCAGCTTACGATCTTGCACACAGGCCCACTGAATTCGTAAAGTGCCCCTTTCCTGACCACCCTTTTATATATTGCATGCTACAGATGTTAAAGCAATTCTAAAGGATAATTTTTTTTTTTAAATAACAAAACATGCTATACTTACCTACTGTGTGCAGTGGTTTTGCATAGAGCAACCTGGATGCTCCTCATCTTGGATCCCCCCGCAGGCTATCCTGGCTCCTCCTGTCTGTTGGGTGTCCCCACAGCAAGCAGCTTGCTATGGGGGCACCCGCTGCTCTGTGTGTCCATTCACACTTTGCCCCACTTCTCTCTCTCCTCATTGGCTAAGTGGCTGTGATTGACAGCAGTGAGAGCCAATGGCTCCCACTTGCTGTCTCAGCCAATGAGGCGGCAGAGACCCAGGACAGTTGAGGCTTTCATTCACATTGCTGGATCCTTATGAGGCTCAGGTAAGTATTAGGGCAGCTGCTGCACACAGAAGGTGTTTTACCTTTATGAATGCATGAGGATAAAAAACCTTTAGCCTTTACAACCACTTCAATAGTAAGGAGAGAAGAGTAAATGCAAATTATAAGAATAAGAATTTGGTAGTACTTCTGAGATTACGTTAGAAAGTGTTGCATATTTCTTATATTTTGTATATTTATCTGCATTTCTTTTTATAATTAACAAATTTAATAAAGATTACATATTTATCACCAGAAATCAATGCTTGCTTCTGTATACTTTAAAGAAGGGGTTGGGAGTTGGGGAGGAGAGAGTAAAGGGTAGCCCAGGTGAAGGAGGTTATTACCTGCTCATATTCTCTGAAAAAAAAAAAAGCCGAAATAAAAGGAATAACTTGATATAACTTTATGGATAATAAATGCTCCTGTAAAGAAAGAAAAAAGGAGTATGAAAGTATGTCTTTATCAAGGCACACAAAGCAACTAGACTACATCACAAACTGCTGGATAATTAGTTGCTAAGCAACAGCATATAAGCTGGAAGTTTGGACACCCTGTCCTGCTTAAAGTAGTACTGGAGTAACATTAACAGAACACTGTGCATATAGAGAATCAGAATACTGAAGAGCCATGAAAACATCAGTAAAGGAATATATACATTTCCCAGTGACAAGTCGTGTTTTTATTTGTATGGATGTATTCTGAATACAAATTATTTTCTTAGTATCAGAAAAAAAAGATACGAAAAAGAATAATGATGTTTATAAGGATATGTGCTTGAAGATTTTCTTTCTTTATATCTTTGGATAGACAAAATATTATTTTTTTCGCAATTGACTTGGCCCCACCTCCCCATTCCCTCCTCACAGGGTTTGACTGACAGCAGGAGAGGCCAATGGTTCTCACTGCTGCTGAGTCTCCTGTGAGAAGAGAGAGGAGAAGAACTGCTACAGATGGGCACAGTACTAGATCAAGATTGGGCTCAAGTAAATGTTTAAGGGGGTGGAGGTACAACATTTGTAAGGTTTTGAAAGCAGAGAATGCAGTAAGGTTAAAAACCTTTTTGAGTTTATAGCCACTTTCACTTTCCTATTCTCAAATGAGCAGAAGTTCCTTATACAACTGTTTACATAAAGACATGATTGCAAGGTACATTTGACAGTGATAATCTTTTTCTGCTGGATGTGGAGAGAGATCACAAGGTTTAGAGAGATAACAAGGTCCCTAGTGGCCCACTTCCACCTAGAAACCCTTCATGCATCTTTCTAATTAAATAACTAAACTACTGTGACAAGTACATTATTTCTCAGAAAGCAAGAAGAATCCTAATTTAAAAATTGACAACTCCAAAATTTCTACTTTCCCTGATGTTTCCTCTGGGGTGCCGAAACAGTACACCAAATTCCTGGATGTCAAGCAAGTATTCTGTTTATCCCCTGCCTATTCCATATTTTTCCCATATGGGCTCAGAGTGGTCACCATGAGTGAAATGCACTTTTTTGATCCAGCTGCAGCACTGTGTCTAGGTCACAGTGAGAAATCCCTATGGCACAATCTGGATTAATGATCTTTTCATACTTTACTGAATGGCAAGTGGAAATTTATTTCTACTGGCAGCACCATTGAGCAGCACTACAAGTCAATGCTCACTTTCCCCTTCTCCCAGTGGATTTCTAGTGTCAAATGTTCTGCTATGAGATTGGTTAGGGTGAGGTCCCGGTTTCTCCACTGTTTTTCTTGATACTTTGTACTGTTAAAATGTTATTTTGGCTTACCACCTTGCTTTCTACATGGTCAAGCAGTTATTCTGGGGACAGAGGCTTCAAAAACAACTTATATGCAATAACCTAAATAGAAGGAAAAGACCCCCTATAGGACTTGGGACTTTGAAGACAGAGTTTTTTTCTTTGAAGGAGTGAAATCACTCCGAAATGTGTTGGCTCATATAGAAACTATCTCTGTAACAGGGGTGGACTGACAACTCATGGGGACCCCGGGCAATAGGGGATCATAGGGCCCATGTGTCCTTGCCCAAACTCAAAAAAGCCTATGAAAAAGGTACCAGGGGCATCTCATGGGGCCCCCTACTGACCCCGGGCCCTCTGGCAGTGCCCGAGTTTCCAAATGGTCAGTTCGCCCCTGCTCTGTAATCATATGTATGGATGTTACAACATTTTTAATGGCTAGTCAAACATAGTGATACTGGGTATTCTTATCATGCAATTAATATGTTGATGGTGATGCTGTACTATGACTTTGGATGATGTATAGTATGGTATGTCTACATGTTAAAATAATTTTTTTTTGACACAACAAAAAGCTTGTATTTTTTTATAAACTTTTTTCGGTATATACAGTATCTACAGTCAGGTCCATAAATATTGGGACATCTACACAATTCTAAAATTTTTGGCTCTATACACCACCACAATGGATTTGAAATGAAACGAACAAGATGTTCTTTAACTGCAGACTGTCGGCTTTAATTTGAGGGTATTTACATCCAAATCAGGTGAACGGTGTAGGAATTACAACAGTTTGCATATGTGCCTCCCACTTGTTAAGGGGCCAAAAGTAATGGGACAGAATAATAATCATAAATCAAACTTTCACTTTTTAATACTTGGTTGCAAATCCTTTGCAGTCAATTACAGCCTGAAGTCTGGAACGCATAGACATCACCAGACGCTGGGTTTCATCCCTGGTGATGCACTGACAGGCCTCTACTGCAACTGTCTTCAGTTCCTGCTTGTTTTTGGGGCATTGGCATTTTCCCTTCAATTTTGTCTTCAGCAAGTGAAATGCATGCTCAATCGGATTCAGGTCAGGTGATTGACTTGGCCATTGCATAACATTCCACTTCTTTCCCTTAAAAAACTCTTTAGTTGCTTTTGCAGTCTGCTTTGGGTCATTGTCCATCTGCACTGTGAAGCGGCGTCCAATGAGTTCTGAAGCATTTGGCTAAATAAGAGCAGATAATATTGCCCGAAAGACTTCAGAATTCATCTTGCTGCTTTTGTCAGCAGTCACATCATCAATAAATACAAGAGAACCAGTTCCATTGGCAACCATACATGCCCACGCCATGACACTACCACCACCATGCTTCACTGATGAGGTGGTATGCTTAGGATCATGAGTAGAGATGAGCGAAGTATTCAAAAATTCGATTCGGCTGATTCGGCGAATTCGAGTTTATATTAGTGCAGAACACTGTACCTTTAATTTAAATGCCCTTGGAGTCTGCTGGGGAAGAGAAATAATACTGTCAGTCAGTATGACATGCAGATGAGTGCCGTCGATCTTAGAATCACCGCACACTTCACTCATTTGGGCAGTCACGGGGCCAAAACCAGAGTGTGGAGCCACAGTGTGGCGGTGGAGGCAGCAGCAATGGGAGGCCATACAGCACCCTATGACAAAAAATGGAACCCACCAGCAGTGTGAGGAGAACTGAAAGTGGCACATGGCAGAGTGTGGCGAAGGAGACAGCAGCAATGGGAGGCCGTACAGGGACCCATGAGACACTCTGGACCTGGCAGCAGCATGAGGAGGCGGTACAGGGGCCCCATGACAGATTTACGGGCCTGGCAGCAGCATGAGGAGTCGGTTACAGGGGCCCATGGCAGATTACGGGCCTGGCAGCAGCAATGGGAGGCCCGTAATCTGCCAGCACCCTATGACAAAATGGAACCCACCAGCAGTGTGAGGAGACCTGAAAGTGGCACATGGCAGAGTGTGGCGATGGAGACAGCAGCAATGGGAGGCCGTACAGGGACCCATGACACACTCTGGACCTGGCAGCAGCATGAGGAGGCGGTACGGGGGCCCATGGCAGATTACGGGCCTGGCAGCAGCAATGGGAGGCCCGTAATCTGCCAGCACCTATGACAAAATGGAACCAGCACCAGAGAGTGTGAGGAGACCTGAAAGTGGCACATGGCAGAGTGTGGGCGATGGAGACAGCAAGCAATGGGAGGCCGTACAGGGACCCATGAGACACTCTGGACCTGGCAGTAAAAACATGAGGAGGCGGTACGGGGGCCCATGGCAGATTACGGGCCTGGCAGCAGCAATGGGAGGCCCGTAATCTGCCAGCACCCTATGACAAAATGGACAGCACCAGCAGT